TTTTTTTTTAAAGCCTTTGGAAAACAGCATTCCACAGAACAAGAAGCACAGTAGACTTTAAATATTTTGAATACAACAACAATAAAGCCAGCAGAAAACAACCGAATGTCCGTGTACTTCCTTCCCCCAATCACTGTTAAAACTCGAGCGCACACAACAGCAAGCCAGAACTCCAAGCAGTCAGAATTGACAAGGGGACTCACCAGAGTTGGGGTCGGAGTTGCCATCTGCTTCGGTCCTCTTGTCCGGAGAGGCCTGGTCGTAGAACTCGTCCTGTGGCTGAACCAGAGGAAGAGGGTGTGAGATCAGGGTTCCACTACCCACCGGCTCGTGGTCGCCTAGACCACTGTCACTGCAGCTTTCCTGGGAGCCGTCGGGGAGGTGAAACGTAACGCGGCGCTGCGACTACAAAGAAGACCACAGGACACGCCAATTAACACTCCTCTCAGGTAAAATGGGTGCAGCGGAACACAACAGCAAAACAACTTTCAACAGATGACACAATGTAAACGAAAACATAAAACTGGGAACAAAGCTAGGAACAAACTTTATCATTTGCTATTTGCTACGTAATGTCCAACTTGCAAAACACAAGCAGGAATTTCGGTCTTGTTTAATTTAAGAACAAAAAAACTAAGGGCAAATTGTCAAAATGATAGCAAGAAAGACAAATATATATATGTAAATATATATATTAATATGTAAAATATTAATATACTAATATCTGAAATGTAGTTCTCGTACAGAAAGAAAAAAGCTGCTATTTTTAATTTTACTTTTTTATATATTATACTCTCATGTGAATTTAACCCTTTAGAGAAAACCAATAATACAAGGATTTTCTGTTTCAATATGCCCATAACTAATCAGTATCCTTTTGTGATAAACGCAGTATTAAGGACAATGACCAGGCCACCCATTATAAAACAAAAACAAAAACAAAAAAAAAACTTGAAATAAGCAGAAATATGAAAATATTTGTTCCATAGATCTGACTAAAATACATACATAATGTGACATTCCATTTCTTTTGAGTGAACATTTTGTTTACCTAATGATTTTAAGGTAGTTTTTGCAATGAAGTCAATATTGCCACTGGCTCAGATATTACTACCAGTCATTGGCTATAGAACATTCCAGCAGAAAGATGTTTGGAATATTATTTTGGCATCTGTTTGTACAATGTCACTGTCAGAAGTGACCTAAAATATGTAGATGGCTACTTCAATAAATTTTAATGTTTTAATAAAATAAAAGTGTGCATTTCAGCACAGATTGTTGCTTAGTACTCTTGGTAAATATTCTTTTAGCTGATGTAATCCACAAGATATGGGAATACTTACAGCAGTGTGGGGTGGAGATTTATGACTTTTGGAATTATATGAGAGTAGTAAATTTGTGCTGTATGTCTGAGTGCACTTAATTTTCATTCTGCTCTAACAGCCAAAAGACCTTTCAATATCATGTCACATGTGACCACTCTTACTCATATTTAATAAAACTATGATTATATAAATAATAAAGTATATAAAATATAAATGTATAATGTATAATCACTTTATAATACCTAAAACTTGAGTGTTTTTCCAGAAGATGATTTATAGATTGTATCCGTTTCAAAGAAAAAAGAATGCAATTAGACACAAAATGCTATAGATATACTGCTACTCTATAAATGCATTTTTATAGACAACAATAGAACATAGTCTATTTCCTATGAGTCACTGGTTCAAATCCAGCTAAGAGTCATAATGGAGAAGAGCTGATACCCCTTTATTGCTGTTCAATGACCTGTGTGAAATGATTTGATAGTTCAGTACATTTTTAATGAACTGATGCCGACATCACATAAACTATACTCATAAATGGTACTAATTGAGTCTATTGTAGCACATTCACCTTCATGCACAACTATCTCGGTACCATCAACCCCTCCCCCCAATAGATTTTGAAATGTGCCTAGGTGAATGCTACATGAAAATACCAGTCAAACTTGAATATTAATATCTGAGATGTATTTCTTCTTGTATAGAAAGAAAAATGTGGCTATTTTTAATTTTTTTAAATTTATTATACTGTTTCCTCTCTCGTGCGAAATTAACCCTTTAGAGAAAACCAATACAAGGATTTTGTTTCTGTTTCAATAGGCCCTTAACTGATCAATATCCTTTTGTAATAAACACAGTATTAAGGACAATGACCAGGCTGCCCATTATACATGACTCTCAAACATATCTTTTTAAAGTGATTGGCCTAACAAGTACAAACCACCAAAAAATAATAATAATAAAATTAAATAAATAAATAAATAAATAAATAAATAAATAAATAAAGTGGCCTACTAAAATGTCTGTAGTTTCAGTGATTAAAGTATCTTTGGTACTATCTCTGGAGGAATACTTCTTACTTATAACTCAGCTAAATGTAAAACAAGTCAAATATCAGAGAAAGACAATGGGACACATTCTTCAGTCTTTATAAGGCATTTCCAGGCCTTATAAGCCATTATAAAGTATATGTTTCATAGAAGAAAAATGGAAATTTTCCATCTATGATCTTCTAAGCATAATAATACTGCTTTAATTACTATATTTTTTTTCTCCTAAGAAATGTCCAAATCGGCAACACCAGTAACACCTGAACCCAGCAGTTCTCACAGTACTATAATTTCACTGAGAATTAGAAGAAAATTATTTCAAATATACCTCACATATATTATATTATGATATTTCTTTACCACTTTATAAGTGAGAATAAGCAAAGTTAGAAATCTAGCATAATTTATTTGTAATGACAGTGTAAATTAGAGTGATATAATGCTTAAACTACTGTGGCTTATGGAAATATTTCCTAATTAATTTGACTCAAAGATGTTTAAGTCTTAATTGGCAAAAGTGTGCACAATTTATCAGTCTAATGGGAAGTGGGGGTGGTAATGCATGCGGACTAAGAACTGGAACACAGATATTATGGTACGAAGCAAATTGATCAAGCAAATCTATCTTTAATTTATCATCATAATGATTGATGCAGGTACAACAATGTCTGAAATTTCAAGGTAGATATAAGGAAAGGATCTGAATAGACTGAAATGAAGGAAAACAAGGACTCATGAAGTGTTAAGAATTAGGAGTTGTAGGTGTCATCAAGGACTCAACAATACTTGCTCAGCTGTTGCACAACAGGACCAGGTGAAGAAGCCAGAACCAGACCTCTTGGCCAGGAGTCCTTGCTCTGCAGAGAATGGCCCAAGGCAAGTGACTTTACCTCTTTGAATGAGTCCCTGGCTTTGTAAAATGGACAAAATAGTGCCAAGAAGTCTTGCTGGTTTATAAAACTTGACACATAGTAGGTACTCAATAAAAAGTAGTTATCATTCTTGAAATTTAGAGCTGCATATTCTCTTTTAACGCCCAGGGCCAAGCTGTTTTAAAGATGTGATTCCTTCACCACTGGGGGAAAAAAAAAAGTATTGTCCTTTTGTAGGGGAACTGCCTGCACCCCATAACCTTGGCATGCCTCCTAAATTGTACATCATGGCAGCTCAGAGCCTTTCTGAGGGGAAGCTGTTTTCATGGAAGCCATAGACGAAGACCAACAGTTAATTTTTTTTTTTAATGTTTATTTATCTTTGAGAGAGAGACAGAGCATGAGCAGGGGAGGGGCAGAGACGGAGGGAGACACAGAATCCGAAGCAGGCTCCAGACTCTGAGCTGCCAGCACAGAGCCCTATGCAGGGCTTAAACCCACGAACTGTGAGATCATGAGATCATGACCCCAGCCAAAGTCGGACGCTCAACCGACTGAGCCACCCAGGTGCCCCAAAGACCAACAGTTTAGAATACATGGTTTCTCCTTTAAAAAAGTGAAGGTTTTCCCCATTATCCTTTCAAGAAACCTATAATTGTTTGCACATTCAAAAAAGAGGAAGAGGATAAGCTATTACTTACTGCCTCTGGGAATTCTGCTTCTGGGTTATCCCCATGGAAATATACCCAATTTGCGTTATAAATACAGTGAAGCACTGCCTGACTGAATTGGGACAACATATGTTATCATGAGACTACTTCAGATTTTCCAAAGCCTTCGCACTCTTGTTTTCCTAAAATCTAGTTCCTATCCATTCCGTTTTATCCCATGGTAAACATTATTATTATTATTGGCTATGTCTTGTTAACGGTTTGAATGTCACATTTGTTTATCTGATGTATCACTAACAAGTTAGCTCTAGGTCCCTGGCTGCCCTAAGAAAGAATAAGATGGGAACCAGTAACTACTAAAGCTGCTTCATGTTATTTTATCTCAGAGCTGCTGATATGAATTCTAACCATGTGAAACTTTCATCAGAAATTCTGTACTCTACACAAGCATAAAGGGCCATGCATACAAATAAAGGTTCAGGATGCTGCAAGTCAGAAGAGGCCACACTGGTTTAATTTAAGAAACATCACCAAACACTTTCACTATATTTTTTCGTGTAGATTAGTAGAGAGGAAAGGGAGGGAAAATTCAAGATGCTCAGGTAAGATACACATGTTCCTATATTGGGCACTGTTCTTCAAGAGTTGCTAAAAGAATGAGTCATCTATGAAATCTCAACCATTACTTGAATGCTTCTGTTGTGCATTTCTTACTGGTACAGAATATTATTCTATTCACCAATGAATGACTCACATTCAAGTCTATAATCCCAGTCCCATTAACCTACAGGGATTCCTAGGTGCAAAGATTTGGTGGTCAAGTTCATTGTGTCTTTGCATAAAATAGCAAAAAGGTAGAAATGAGCGACATGCCTAATAGGTATTTAATTAATAAATTATGTATCATACAATTGAAAATATCACAATACTTAAAATTATATTAATATTTACGGATACTGAAAATATTTGGAATCTATTGTTAAGTGTGAAAAGGAAGTTAGTAAAGATTTTACTTGGTTGAATTACACTTTGTTAATATGTTTTTGTGTGTGCATATGCATAAGCTAAGATCTGACTATGTGTATACTAAGTATTTAAAGTGGTATTGTCTGGTCATGGAATACAGTATTTTAAAATTTCAGTATTTTGGCCACACTAAAATTTGCATGGATGATCTTGGTAATATTACAACATATTCTAATATTTAAGTATTCCTCTTCATCATTTATAGCAATTAGGAAAAAAAGAAAAGGAAAAGTCTAGTAGATAGTAGGTGGGCTTTCTCTTGAGCTAAGGAATGCTAAACAATCTGATTATCCTTGCCCTGCTATTCTAACTTCTTTACTTTCTTTACCTAACATTCTAAATCACTGCAATTAAAAATGCTTGCCTTCTCAAATCACAAAATAACAACAAGAAGTTGGCACACTAAGCCAATTATTACAAGACAAATAAACAATTTTACCAGTTAATAACTGACACTTA